CAGTAAGGAAACCACGGGGGAGGAGGAGGAGTTTTGTAGAGCGGCCGGGCAGCCTGAGACGGCAGCAGAAGTCAGGCTGCTGAGCATAGTTCCTTCTTTAGGGAAACTTGGCTGTGAAACGGAGGATTTCTAGGATGGGAAACAACGAGCGTGCGAAAATGATAAGGTTGTGCAGGAGTGAGGATGGAGGGGATGAGGAGAGCAGATGCAGGCACGCCCTGGGATTAATGCTGTTAGACCCAGCCCTCCAGCTTCCACCCTCTCCACTCTCGTCCCGGGCCCCGTATGGCTCACAGCCCCTGCCCCAGAGACCTCGTCCACGTGTGTGTCCTTTCCCGCCCTCCCCATACCGCTAACCCTTACCCACTGTGCAAGGCTCTGTCGAGTCTCCCTACCTTCAGAAGGCCTCCCCTGCAGTGGTGGAGAGACAGCGCCTTGGGTCGAGCGTGAAGGCGGGGGTTCACCTGGGGAAGCTCAGTCGGTGAAGCGTCTGTCTTTGGCTCAGGTCATGATCTTATGGTCCTGGGATGGAGTCCTGCATCAGGCTCCTTGCTCAGCGGGGAGACTGCTTCTCCCTCTCCCTCTGACCCTCCTCCCTGTTTGTGATCTTCTTCTCTCTGTGTCTGAAATAAATAAATAAAATCTTTTAAAAAAAAGTGTGAAAAGGTGGGTGTCACCTGTAGCTCTGCCGCTAAGTGGGCGACCTCCAGAAAGTCACGTGATATCTCTTTTCCTTGGTTTTCTGGTCAGTAATACCCGCTCTAACTTACACACAGGCTTGTGTACAATATGAATGAGATCAGGGCTGTGAAATGCCTCTGAAATCACACACAACACGGCACGATGGTGCAACACTACCATTTCCTGACTGCTTGGACTGATTTCACTCATTCAGGCCTGGTTTTCGCTGGATAAGTTAATTCCCTCAACTTTGTTTTTTCCTTCAGTGCCTGTTTCGCTGAGCACAGAGGTTATCATGAGGAGCAAGAAAGTCCCTACCCCGGGGAGCTTCTAGTCTGGTGTGGCAGGCAGGAAATAAATAATTACATCCTATCTAACAGCTAGTTGTTGAAATGCTATAGAGAAAAATAATGCAAAAGAAGGAGGAGGCAGGCCTAGGAGTTGCAGAGAAGGGTACTGTTTTATTTTTTAAAAAGATTTATTTATTTGAGAGAGAGAGGGTGGGTCAGAGGGAGAGTGAGAATCTCAAGCAGACTCTGCTGAGCTTGGAGCCTGACTCGGGACTCGATCCCATGACCCTGAGATGACCTGAGCCTAAACCAAGAGTCAGACGCTTAACTGACTGAGGCAGCCCAGAGATAAGAGTAGTCAGGGGACATCCTGAGGAGATGATATTTCAGCAGAGGAGAATCAAGTGAGGGGGCAAGGCCGCGGGGCCATCTGTGGGAAGAGTGCCTTAACCCCACGGGCACAGCAGGTGCAAAGGACCTGAGATGAGAAGGCGTGCACTGTGTTCTAGAAACAATAAGGAGGCTAGTGTGGCTTGTAGGTTCTAGTAAAGGCGTTGCATTTTATGCCGATAGTGATACTAGATCGTGGAGGGTGGGAGCAGAAGCAGGAGACAGGAAGGGATATGGCGTAGAAGCAATAGCATGAGAAGAAATGGTCAGACTTTAGATATATTCTGATGGGTTTGCTAATGCAGTAGATGCTGTGGGTTATGAATCAAAGTTGGTGCCAAGATTTTGATCCTGAGCCAATGGGTCAGTAGTGCTCTTAAATTAAAATTGGGAAAATGGGGGGAGAGAATAAGTTTTTGTGGAGGAAAATGGTCTCCCCCCACCCCTGCTTTTATTTATGCAATTTTGTACTTCGTGAGAGAGAATTTAAGTACAGGCCCCAAGATCATCTAATTCAGTGATTTCCGAGTGAAAGTTATCTGCTGCAGGTTTATAAAAAACACCCGCCTCCCACTTCTCAAATTGAGTCTTCCCCTAGTAATGAAGGTGTCCTCTTCTTCCAGGATTAGGCCAGAAAGCAGGTTGGACATCATTGGCCTACTTCGTTTGCTTGTTCTGTGGGTGAGAAGAACAGAGCTGAAGAGGTTGTTGGAATGGCCAGGGATACGAGGCTAGCTGTGTTCCTCTTCTGGTTAATAATTATGTCACGTGTGGTTAGTTTCTGTTTTCAGTTTGATGGTAAACTCCTTGAAAGCAGGAATCATGTCTTAAAGTCTTTCATGTTTTCCTTTTTGCCTCAGAGAATGCTGAGTAATAACAGGCATCATTCCACGTATTAACTTGAACATAAAACCTCACGAAAAGAAAATCAGGTCTTCTGCAAACGTTGATGCCTGTGATCTTACCTGCGCCCGCAGTTAAAGACATATCCATTGCTGAGTTTCCCACTGGAGTTGGGGCATCAACAAAGTATAAGCACCAGGGGCAGAGACAGACAAAGTTCAGCCTTGAACTTCCAAACTTGGAAAGTTTCCAAGCTTCCAGTGCTTTGGAATCAGATAACCAAGGAGAGAGGTGTTAGGGAAGCATGTTGGCTTTGGTGTACTTTGGCCAGTCACACGCCGCTTACTACTGCTTTTATATGGAACTATGTGAGAGTGAGACCAGAGCCATTCTGTAAGTGCTTAGGGCCTTTGTGGGTCTGCTTCAGCCCCGGGAAGTCTTTCCCGTATGTCTCCTGGCTCCTGTGTGTTTGATGTTAATATTAAACAGTTCCCATGCGGCCCTGTGTTCTCTCATATGCGTTAAATATAGGTATATATGTAAAGGCCTTAGTTCTCATTTGTTGTTTTTGAGATTGCTCAATCCGTTTGATTACATCTGTTCTGTTTTCTTCTTTAATCGTTTGTAAAAACGCGCTCTCAGTGTGGCAAGAGCCACCCGCGGGACATTCCAGCGTCAACTTTGGAGGAACGATGTCCACTGTCCATGCAGGTGCGGTGTACTCATTTGAGCGGGTGGCTGCTCGGAGCTGGTGACAGCACGCTGCTGAGGTCACTGTCTGGGCCTCTGACCCACTGCACTGGTCTTAGCACTAGCTTCCATACGCAGCCTCCCATAGGAGTCCTATTTTGATCGCTTCCTGGCCTTTCGGCTAAGGTCAAGGGTAGGAGCCCTATTTTGAGCCAGAGTGGTGTTTGCAAGGAGCTGGTAGAGTCAAAGAACACTTTGTAAACTTCCTCTTCCTTCCCCTTCTCCAATGCTTTCTTCCCCATCTTCAGAGTTAGATGAGCCTGAATCAGATTATTCTAGGGACAGATCCAGCATCTTGAAGTCTTAGATCCTTGGGGCCCCAGGAAGGGGCCTTATAGCAGTGAACCTGCCATTTGGACAAGATGGAAGCAAGCTTTGCTTCTCTTGGGCACATCTGTGCCCTTGAGTAGAGGGCAGCCCTGTGCTTAAAATCTGAGTCCAAGGAAGTTCAGAGTTTTCTTCTTGCCTAGGTTTGTTTCTCAATACGTAGCATCTTCTGTAGGTTCCAGAGTGCTCGACAGAACATGAAGTTGGTACAGCCCTTCGTGCTTAGTGTGCGCAGTGTCCCATATGTGTGGTATTTGCCCTGGCCGTGCAGTGTGTTCAGCAAGAGAACAAGACTAGTTACCATTGGTTGAAGAACTTATCTTCCAAGAACGGCACTGAAGGCTTTCCACACATTTCCCACCTGGGCTCCCTCCCACCTGCCACCACCAGAAAGGAAGGAGCTCCCGTAACAAAAAAGCATACATTGTCAGTGCAGAGATTTTGGCCTGTTTCTCCTATATTCTGTTTTGTTCTCATTCCCTTGAATGAGAATGCCTACCACATACTAAGTCTCGAGTAAATGTTTGTCGAGTAAATGGATTATTTTATTTCCTCCCCGGCAGCCCTCGGTGGTGGGATTGGCTGTTCGGATTTGCTGGTAGGGGGGGTGGGGCCCGGATTTGAACCTGTGTGGACAGCTGCTCACTCTGGGTTGGGGTAGGGGGTCAAGTCCCGCCAAGGGTGACTTCCGGTTCCTGCCGTCAGCTAGTAGACGTGAGGCTCACCTACATAAAAGATTCAGTGGTGGGGTAGCACTTCTTTCCAGGCAACACAAGAACTGTGCAAAGTGCTAGAGGAGTCACGAGTGGGGTAGGGTGAGTGAATGCGTGCACACCGTTTAGAGCTGTGCTCGCTGCACGTGCTTGCTACGTGTCACCCCCGTTGTGACCACGACTCTGATGATGTCACCATCATTTTCTATGACTCCTGTGAACCAGACTCCCAAAGGAAGGACTGTTCATTTGTGGCTTGAAATGGCCAGAGATGGTTTCATGAACAAGGTGGTCATTGAGGCTTGGACGGAATGTGGGCAGGTGCGGACCCGAAGGGAAATACTGGAGATGAAAATCCTATAAACCGAAGCCGAAAACATGTGTTTTCTGTTCCTGGGACAGCAAGGACGCCACTCTGCCTGGCGCAGAAGGGGTGTGTGGGCTACTAGGGCCAGTAAAGATTAAGACTGATAATTCAGAATTTATTTATTATGGCCTGAGCGCTACATTGTGTCTGTGAGATCGGATTTGAAACCCTGTATCCGTTTCTTTCTTACGCAATTCAACCCTCTTTAATAAGAAATGCCGCAATCTGTGGTTGCAACGTTGTATCTTGTTGAGAAATAGTATTTGTGCCTTTGGTGTCACATAGCCTGTGAGACAGATAATGAAGAGGCCACTTCTGTTTGGCCTCATGTTTATGAAATTTAAGACCCTCATTTATGATTATTGACTCAAATATATCTTGGAAGATTAGTAAGGCTATTATATGCTGCTGTAGCCTCCTTAACAGGCTGTAATTCCCCGGGGACCAGGCCTGTGCCTCATTCATCCTTGAACCTCTTCCAGCACTGAACACAGTTGCTGGCATAAACTAAGGACGCAATAAATTGTGGTTGAATTGAATTTGCAAGGCATGTGAAGCTGGCCACCTCTGCGCTTGCAGGAGTAATTTGCAGCAGAGCTATATTTTTTGACTTATGTAACGCATTTCATCTTGTTCCAGGTCCAGCCTGATGACTGGAGGGGCTAAGCGAGGAGTCCCCAATCCTTGGCTCTTTGAGGAGCCAGAGGAGACCAGAGGTTTGGGTTTTGATGAACTCCGGCAACAGCAGCAGAAAATTATCCAAGGTATTGAACACCGCAAGAGGGCGGGCCCAGAGACCTTGTCAGAATTTTACTACCTTCTCGAATGTTCCTTACCACCATTGAAGATCACGGGGAAAGCTGTTGGTCCTCGAAAGCTCTTGGTGATATCCTGAGGCATAGACAGATGGTGTCATCCATCAGGGGAATGCATGGAAGTAATGATTTCCACTGGGAGGGAGAGCACTCCCTGAGCTCTGAATCTCGTAAACCCAGGCAAATCTGATGTACGTGCCTCCCTCCCTTCACTCCACGATCGGACTCATTCTCCAAACACAACACTCCCCTCTTTTTCTTCTACAAAATAAGTCCATTTGGCTTTTACCTTCAAGTTCATCTTGTCCAGTGATTTTTAAGCTTAATTGGTTTCTTCTGCATTTTTAAATTTCAAAAGTAATGCATGATTGTTATGGAAGGTTCAAACAATACAGGGATATGTAATGTGGAAAGCTCCCCTTATTGGTCCTCTAATCTCAAACTGTAAACAGATCAATATATCTGTCCTCAGGCTTTTTTTCTACACACACATACACATAGAAGCACACATATTTTTATGTCAGTGAGATCATGATAAAGGGTAATGCTATAGCTTTGACATTTTTGTTTAATGTGTGTCATAGACATTTTTCATGTGCCTGTTTTTGTACATGGTTTTTGTGTATTACAGGCATGTCTTTCTTTCTAACACCTTTTCAGAACAGTTTTACTGAGATATACTTGACATGTCATAAACAGCACATACTTAAAAATGTACGATTCAAGGGGCGCCTGGGTGGCTCAGTGGGTTAGAGCCTCTGCCTTCGGCTCAGGTCATGATCCCAGGGTCCTGGGATCGAGCCCCGCATCGGGCTCTCTGCTCAGCAGGGAGCCTGCTTCCCCCTCTCTCTCTGTCTGCCTCTCTGTCTACTTGTGATCTCTTTCAAATAAACAAAATCTTAAAAAAAAGAAATTGCATTAGATCTATAAAGTGGGGGGGAAACTGATGTCTTGGCAATATTGAGTCTTTCTGTCCACATACATGGAATATCTCTCTTTTCGTTTTTTTTTTTAATTAGTTCTTTTTTGATTTCATTTATCAGTTTATAGTTTTTCTCATAGAGATCTTATACTTATTTTGTTAGATTAGAGCAAAGTACTTAATTTTGAGGGATGCTGATATAAATGGTATTGTGTTTTTAATTTCAAATTCCACCCATTCTTTGCTGGTTTATAATGAAGTGAATGACTTTTGTATATTAACTTTGTATCCTGCAACCTTGCTATAATCGCTTTTTAGTTTGAGGAGATTTTTTTCTTCTTTTGGATCTTCTCCTTTACACGATCCTGTCATCTCTAAACAAAGTTTTATTTCTTTCTTCCAAATTTGTACATTATTTTTTTGTCTTGTCTCATCTGGTTGCATTAGCTAGAACTTCCATACAATGTTGAAAAGGAGTGTTGGGAGAGGACATCCTTTCCTTGTACCTGATCGTAGTCGGAAAGTGTCAGTTTCACACCATCAAGTGTGATGTTAGTTCTGGGAATTTCATAGGTATTCTTTATCAAGTTGAGGAAATTCTCCTTTATTCCTAGTTTATTATACATAATTGGATTTGATTTGCTAATTTTTTTTGAGGATTTTTTTTATCTATTAACGTGAGTGATACTGGTCTGTGTTTTTCTTTTCTTTAATGTCTTTGTCTAAGTTTGGTATTAGGACAATGGTGGCCTCAGAAAATGACTTAGGAATTATCCTCTTTGCTTCTGTGCTCTGGAAGAGATTGTAGAGAATTGGTATAATTTCTACCTTTGATGCTTGGTAGAATTCACCAGTGAACCCTTTTGGGCCTGGTGTTTTCTGTTTGGGGAGGTTATTGTTAATTCAGTTTCTTTAATAGATACAGACCTATTCGGATTGTCAGTTTCTTCTTGTGTGAATGTTGGCAGCTTGTGTCTTTCTAGGAATTAGGCCTTTTCATCTAGGTAATCAAATTTGTGGGCATAAAGTTGTCCATAATATTTCTTTATCTTTTCGATATCCATTAGAGCTTTAGTGATGTCCATGTTTTAAATTTCTGATTAGTAATTTGTGTTCTCTCTCTCTTTTTTTTTTTTAGTTAGCTTTGTTAGAAGCTTACTGATTTTATTCATCTTTCTGGTTTCATTGATTTTACTCTGTTGATTTCTTATTTAAATTTCATTGATTTATTACTGTAATAAAGTAATACAGTAATCCTTCTTACTTTGGATTTAATTTTCTTTTTTCTTTTTTTTAAAGATTTTATTTGAGAAAGAATGAGAGAGAGAGAGAGAGAGCATGAGAAGGTGGAGGGTCAGAGAGAAGCAGACTCCCTGCCGAGCAGGGAGCCCGATGTGGGTCTCAATCCCAGGACTCCAAGATCATGACCTGAGCCGAAGGTAGTTGCTTACCACCCAGGTGCCCCTAATTTGCTCTTTTTTAAAAAAGATGTTATTCATTTAAAGAGAGCGAGGGACGCCTGGGTGGCTCAGTCGTTAAGTGTCTGCCTTCGGCTCAGGTCGTGATCTCGTGGTCCTGGGATGGAGCCCCACGTTGGGCTCCCTGGTCAGCAGGAAGCATGCTTCTCCCTCTCCCACTCCCCTTGCTTGTGTTCCCTCTCTCGCTGTGTCTTTCTATGTCAAATAAATAAATAAAATCTTAAAAAAAAAAAAAAAAGAGAGAGAGAGAGCACAAATAGGGAGGAGGAGAAGCTGGCTCCCAGTGAGCAGGTAGCCTGACGCGGGGCCGGATCCCAGGACCCTGGGATCATGACCTGAGCCAAAGGCAGACATTCAACAGACTGAGCCATGCAGGCGCCCCTAATTTGCTCTTTTTCTAGTTTTCTGAAGGGTGGGAAGGCTCTTGATCTTAGATCTCTCTTTTTTCCCTAACATAAATATTCAGTGCTATAACTTTCCCTCTGTGTACTACTTTTGCCATATCCGGTAAATTTAGTTTTGTTTTCATTTTCATTTACTTCAAAGTATTTGGAAAGTTCCCTTGAGATTTCTTTTTGATCATGTGTTATTTAGAAGTGTGTTGTTTAATCTCCATGTATTGGGGTGTTTTCTAGTTATCTTTCTGTTACTGATTTCTAACTTCATTCCATTGTAGTTTGAGAGCAGACGTTGCATGATTTCTATTTTTAACAAATTTGTTAATGTACGTTTTATGGTCCAGAATGTGGATTATCTTGGGTGAATGTTCCATGTAAGTTTGAGAAGTACATGTATTCTGCTTTTGTTGGATGAAATAGTTTATAGATGTGCCTTATATCCGGTTGATTGATGGTGGTGAGTTCAACTTACTGATTTTTCTGCCTACTGGATCTATTTCTGATAGAGTGATGTTCTATCTCAACTATAATAATGGGTTTATCTGTTTCTCCTTGCAGTTCTATCAATTTTTGCCCCATGTAGTTTGATACTCTGTTGTTTAGGCATGTACACATTAAAGATGGTTGTGTCTTCTGGGAATCAGCCCCTTTCTCTGTAGATGATGATTGTCTTTGTCCCTGATAATTACTTGCTTTGAGGTCTGCTCTGTCTGAAATTATTATAGCTACTCCTGTTTTCTTTTGATAAGTGTTAGTACAATTTGTCTTTCTCCATCCATTTACTGTTAATCTATATGTGCCTTTATATTTAAAGTGGGGCTCTTGTAGACAACATGTAGTTGACTCTTGTGTTCTTGATCCACTCTGACATTCTTTTAATTATTGTGGTTTTACTTATTAATTTCAATTTGGATGCCTTTTATTTCTTTTTCTTGCCTTATTGCACTTGCTACAATCTCCAATATAATGTCGACTAGAAATTGTGAGAGCAGGCGTCCTTGCTTTGTTTCTAATCTTAGCCAGGGAACATTCATTTGGAAGCTAGGTGTGAATTTTTCTTTTGTTTGGTACTAGATATTTTTGTATTTCCAGAAGTTTTCTTGAGATTTGGTGGGAGGGGCAGTGCAGTTATTTGAGTATTATTTTGTCAGGTGGACCAGAACGGTGTTTATTTTAGGGAAGTCAGCAAACCATGATGTGTGGGCCATGTCTCATCCACCACCTGTTTTTGTAACGGGCTGCAGGCTTAAAAACAGTTTTTCCATTTTTAAGTGGCTGAAAAATAGAAGATGATTTCATGACTTGTAGAAATTATGTACAATTCAAATGAACTTTTGTGGGAGCACAGCCCTGCTCACTTACTTATGTATTACCTTTGGGTGCTTCCCTGCTTCAGCGGCAGAGTTGAGTAGCTGTACTGGGGACCCTATGAACCACAGAGCCCCAGATGTTTGCTGTCTGGCCCTTCATAGAAGATGTTCGCCGCTCCAGTGTCGAGTGGTCTAGCCTGCTAGAGAGCTAAAGGTGTTCTGAGCACTCTTAACGCCCCGTAAATCATGAGGTGACCTGGTTGGTGGAAATGGGAGCTATGTCCAACCCCGTCTGAGCTCAGAGGGTCATTCCCTCTGGCTTTCAAGTGGTTCTTTCCCTTACGCATGGATCCTGGCTAACGATCACCCAACTGACACCTCAAGGTGGGCCCTGTGCAAACCTCTTTGCACAGCCCTCTCCCCTTTGTGCTGTGCCCTGCATACTCTCCCCTCCTTGACCTATTTGGATACTTCTCAGTGCTGGGCCCCCCATGCCAGGCAATATGTGGGGCAGCCCTAGAGCTCATCTCAGTTGTTTCCCGTCCCTTGGGGAGCACTGGCCTTCATTTCCTGATACCCGCATCTCTCAACTGTAGTTTTATGTATTTTGCCTGTGGTTTTGTGTTTGTTTTTTGTTTTTGTTTTTTTTTTTTTTTCCACTTGTTTCTTTTTCAGTTGTTTCAGACCAGAAGTAAATCAGGTCCCTGTCAGTCCCTCTTGGCCAGAAGCGGAAGTCTAATTCTGTCTTGAACTCCCCGTCCACAGTGGAATTATCTAGTAAATGAATCTCTGTGCCTCCCTTATCTCTTTAATACTGTGTACTTCTCCCGTTATTATGTCT